TAGTCTGGCCCAGGAGTGTGAAGGTGAACGGAAAGGCTCTGGAGCAACGAACAGCCCTTGCTGTCTCTGCCAGGCCGGTTCCCCTCTCTCCACTGGGGTTCTCTGCCTCTAACCCTGTTACAGGGGCTGAGTCACTGGCTTGCTGGTGCTCTTTCATGCCGTCCCTAGGAGGGGTGCGTCACTTGAGTGGGTTGAGTTACTTACGTGATCTTCCTGTCTGGGTTGGCGCCCCCCCTTGGTTTGTGCTGTGGTGGAGACCTCTGTGGGCTATACTCGGCCTTGTCTCAGGATTGTAAGTTGGTGGTTGAGGATATCCCTCTAGTGGTGCGGGGGCTGTGCTTTGGCAGAGTGGGTGGGGTTATATCCTTCCTGTTTGGCCCTGTCCGGGGGTTTCTTCGGATGGGGCCACAGTGTCTCCGGACCGCTCCTGTCTCAGCCTCCAGTATTTATGCTGCAGTAGTTTATGTGTCGGGGGGCTGGGGTTAGTTGGTTATACCTGGAGTACTTCTCCTGTCTTATCCAGTGTCCTGTGTGAATTTAAGTATGCTCTCTCTAATTCTCTCGTTCTCTCTTTCTCTCTGAGAACCTGAGCCCTAGGACCATACGTCAGGACTACCGGGCATGATGACACCTTGCTGTCCCCAGTCCGCCTGGCCTTGCTGCTATTCCAGTTTCAACTGTTCTGCCTGCGGTTACGAAACCCCTACCTGTCCCAGACCTGCTGTTTTCAACTCTTAATGATCGGCTATGAAAAGCCAACTGAGAGACCTGAGCCCTAGGACCATACGTCGGGACTACCGGCCATGGTGACTCCTTGCTGTCCCCAGTCCGCCTGGCCTTGCTGCTATTCCAGTTTCAACTGTTCTGCCTGCGGTTATGGAACTCCTACCTGTCCCAGACCTGCTGTTTTCAACTCTTAATGATCGGCTATGAAAAGCCAACTGAGATTTATTCCTGATTATTATTTGACCATGCTTGTCACTTATGAACATTTTTGAACATCTTGGCATGGTTCTGTTATAATCTCCACCCGGCACAGCCAGAAGAGGACTGGCCACCCCTCATAGCCTGGTTCCTCTCTAGGTTTCTTCCTAGGTTTTGGCCTTTCTAGGGAGTTTTTCCTAGCCACCGTGCTTCTACACCTGCATTACTAGCTGTTTGGGGTTTTAGGCTGGGTTTCTGTACAGCACTTCGAGATATTAGCTGATGTAAGAAGGGCTATATAAAATAAAATTGATTGATTGAAAACAAGAGTTGTGTTGGGGGTGTGGTTTGATGTGAGTACTGTACACACAGCACTGATTACATTATCAATAGTGGTTAGATGAATTAGAGGACAGATAATATTTTGACCATTAAACCAACCTGATTCAAGTGGCCTCCATTAATCTGAAGCAGGACTGGTGTCTGGCCACTGCCTCACCCTTCTGTAACAGCTCCTGATATGGTAGAGGGTTCGCACGACTTTGCTAAACAACAAATCCGCCAGGTTTTGTACGTAGCCTGTGAATCAAAAATAAATATCAACACTCAATAAACATAGCTATATTTGTAGTAGACAAGTACCATCCTTCATTTATTTTTGCCCTAAAAAATACACGATAACCTTTTATGAGAACAAGCATGTTGTTTTGGGTTAGCAGACGAAGCCCCTGACTGCTAGCTAGCTAGCTAGCTACCTAACGTGCAAATCCAGGTTAGTTATCATCAAAATCTTTGTCCGAGCTGAATTGAGTTGGCTAGCTAGCTAACGTTAGCTAGCCAGTTCGAGTTGAAACATTATTGAACGCAAGCTGGCCATCTATATCTTATGATTGGCTAGCTAGCAAGCAAGTATCCAAATGCATGCCCTCTATTGACCCTAAATGCCAATGGGCTACAGTTAACTGTTGTTAGCTGGTATCTAGCTAACGTGAGCTAACGTTATGCACATCTTCCTCTGACATGCTACATCTCATTACATGTTAGCTTGATGTATTTAGCTAGCTACAGTATCACTCCCCTTTCATCTGTGGTATCATAGCTAGCCTGGCTTGCTAGCATTATCCCCTGTTGCTCAGTTGGTAGAGCATGGCGCTTGCAACACCAGGGTTGTGGGTCCGTTTCCCACGGGGGGCCAGCATGAAAAATGTATGCACTCACTAACTGTAAGTCGCTCTGGATAAGTGTCTGCTAAAATGACTAAATTATAAAATAATGTTGTATAACCAAAAGTAGCTACTAGCTATCTACTTAGCTAATGTGCTCACCAACACCAGTCACAGTAGTGAACGTGTCAGATGTATTCCATATTGTTGAAATGCATTGGAAGTTGGTACCAACTTTATGGAAGCCCATTTTCACTCATATTTGCCGAGCAAAAAGTTCATGCGTTGCACCCATTTGCAGACTTTACAACATAATGTCCACATGGCAGCTGGGGGCGGACCACAACATGTTGTCTCTGGGCAATTGGGCATCATTGGCAAAAGTGGGCATGTAAGTAATCCATACCCAACCCTCAAGTAAGTCGTGACGAACTCAATTTTGGACAAGACTGACTTTATGACCAAATTATCCTATTTACACTTTGTAGTCAATTTTGACACTAGAATAAATGTTTCTGACTCATCGATGCCACATAGGCTGTTTTCAAAGGGAGACTTTTTGGGTAGTTTCTCTTTTAACAGCTCTCTTCAAAGCTTTTAACTGAAAAAATCAGAGGAAAATATTGGCCAAAAAAGAACCCGTTGCCTAAGCAAGAACCATTTTGAATCCTGTCATTTCTTTGTTTCAAAATAATTGGGCTTGATTACATAGTGTTGCAATAACCATGCCAGCTCTGGCGCATTACTTTGGTGTGAGACAAATCATAGGCTAATGATACTCTTTAGCCAATAGAATTAAAGCTCTGGCATTGCTCCCCTTCTAACAGGATTCTAACAACTGCCTTGTCTTTCCTCTGTGGTTTTCTCTTTGGTAACTGTGGATTCCCCATAATTGAAATGCTCATTCCTTCCTGCTGTCTGCCTCCAATTACCTCCGTGTGACACTCAGTCCAAATGTGGCAGTGCTAAATGGTATAATTTAAAAACTGGTATTGGCAAGAAGCGCGGTTGTCACATATAATGCATCATAATTATGAGTTATGGAAAACCACAGTATACAGGCAAAGGGGGTATTGCAAGAGGTAGATGATAAGGAGTGGTTGTTTGGTGCATAAAAAAATAATAATGGAATAACAGATGATAGTAATGAGTTATGATTTATGCCTTGAATCTAGCAAATTAAGACGACTATCCCTTGTGCCAGAAACTCGAGGCAGGCGACCATGGCAGGCCCCCCTATATGTTCCTCCGAGGGCTGGGCTTGGCAGTAACGAATGGCCCTATTAAAACATATTTAAAGTTTTGCGTGTATTTTGAATTAATTATACAAATGTCAGCGGGAATTAAATGGCGTCAGAGGAAGCCGAATGCGGCCTTACATTTGCTCGAGACTTGGAAGAGTCAGCCCAACAAACTGGGAACATTCCCAGAACATTAGCTAAGATTCCCATTAAGTTATAGTTAGGGTTTTATCTAACATTAGGATGATAACAAATAGATAAAATGTTTTAGATGAAATATAATTAGAATGTTATCCTAACATTCACTAAAATGTTGTGCACAACATCTGTAAAACATTATCCTGATGTTACAAGAACTTTCCCAGAACATATTTAGTCTGTTCTTTAAAGGTTCCCAGAATGTTTAATTAGGTTGTGGTAACATTGTGAGAACAAACACATGATGAAGAAAGAAAATCATAAAATACAGTGTTACAAGTACACAGCATATGAAGAGGATGGGAACATTTTATTAACTGTTCTGTGTTCTGTGTCCTGATTGACCATATTTGACTGAAAAAAACCCACAAGGCCACAACTATCTCCTGGTGGCGCAGAGGGTTAATGATCCGTCTACAGAATCAAACACTGCAGGTTCACTCCCCACGTGTGCAGATTGACAACATATGAAGTGTAAAATATATGGTTATGTTCGTATGAATAAATGCTGTTCAAATGTCCTGAGAATGAAATTAAAATGCCATATAATATGTTTCTATATCACCTACAAAACAGTCCTCAAATGCAAATTGCCATTACATCTGGAGAGAAACATAATGATTGAGGAACAGTGTTAGGAGAGAGAGATTTGCTATTTGACTCCTGCTGGGTGGAGTAATATTCTAATATTATGCTCCTCAATATTTGACTAGTGTGACCAGTGCAGTTAAAGCTAGAACTACTGTAGTTTCTCCTGCTCAACAACTGTAATTTTAAGACTGATAGATTCGTTTTAAGTGCCTAAACAACATCATATTAGCAATTGGGTCATTGTAAATGTATAAGCCGAACTTAAAACTACTTTGAAAAAGCAATTCACAACGCATCCGGGGGAGAGCATATTGTGACTAGAGACCCGGTTGGTTACCAGGTTTCCAAAGTGAATTAAAAACGCAGTTGTCTTTGCACTGCAAGAATGTACATTAATTGAATGGACTAAATTATGAAATGCTATAATTGTGAAACAAAAGGAGACTTACAGTAACAGTGTATTTATTCAAACATGCTTTCAAACATGTAGGAAGAATATACATTTGTATGTCCTGGTTACTGATTTGGTTTAAATATTCTCTAGGTATGATGTGACTGGGACTCATGCACAGTACATACTGTAAGTTAATAACTATGATGGCCACAGATAAAGCAAATTGCCCATAAACCTGCTTACTAACATAATGCTATTGCAAATTGTCACCAACTGCACATGGTTCCTCACATATTGGTGGTCCTAATGTGTCTTTATTTTACTGAATAAAGGGCTGAGTGTGATGAACTTTCGACCACTGATGAAAGTATGTAATTTAATCATCTGTGCCTCCTTTCTCTGTAAGGTCTTTCGTCATTACTTGGACAAAATTATCTTACCATGCTCTTCTCTTCTCTGTCTTTCGTAGGTCCCTGCATATGATCTATCATGGACAAAGTGCTCAGCAGCCTCCTGCTTCTGGGAACCGCAGTGATGATGGCCCACGCATGCCCCAAGTACTGTGTCTGCCAGAACCTGTCTGAGTCCCTGGGTACCCTCTGCCCATCCAAAGGACTGCTCTTTGTGCCTCTGGACATAGACCGGCGGACCGTGGAGCTCCGCCTGGGCGGAAACTTCATCCTCAAGGTCACACCGCAGGACTTTGCCAACATGACGGGCCTGGTGGACCTCACCTTGTCCCGCAACACCATCAGCGCCATCCAGCCTTTCTCCTTCCTCGACCTGGAGACCCTGCGCTCTTTGCACCTGGACAGTAACCGCCTGACCGAGCTGGGTCCGGATGACCTGCGTGGCCTTGTCAACCTGCAGCACCTCATCCTCAACAACAACCAGCTCAACCGCATCTCCAAGGTGGCCTTTGACGATCTGATGCTGACACTGGAAGACCTGGACCTGTCCTACAATAACTTGCGGGGCGTACCTTGGGAGTCCATCCGCAAGATGGTCAACCTCCACCAGTTGAGTCTTGATCATAACCTCATCTCGCACATCGCAGAGGGGACGTTTACAGACCTGGACAAGCTGGCGCGCCTGGACCTCACATCCAACCGGCTCCAGAAGCTCCCGCCGGACCCTATCTTCGCCCGTTCCCAGACTAACGTAATACTGACCACTCCCTACGCCCCTCAGCTTTCCCTGAGCTTCGGGGGAAACCCACTGCATTGCAACTGTGAAGTGCTTTGGCTCCGGAGGCTGGACCGAGAGGACGATATGGAGACCTGCGCTTCCCCTTCCAATCTAAAGGGACGCTACTTCTGGTATGTGCGGGAAGAGGAGTTTGTTTGTGAACCGCCCCTGATCACCCAACATACGCACAAGTTGTTAGTGCTGGAGGGCCAAACGGCTAGCCTGCGCTGCAAAGCTATCGGTGACCCAATGCCGATCATACACTGGGTCGCCCCAGACGACCGTATGATTAGCAATTCGTCTCGAGCGACTGTGTACGATAATGGCACCCTGGATATTACCATCACCACGTCCAAGGATTACGGCACCTTCACTTGCATCGCAGCCAACGCAGCAGGGGAATCGACCGCCTCTATAGAACTGTCCATCATTCAACTGCCCCACCTCAGCAATGGTACCAACCGCACCGCACAGCCCAAGTCCCGGCTCTCGGACATCACCAGCTCTACCAAGACCAGTAAGGGGGAGTCCAAGCCTGCACCGGAAAAGGTGGTATCCGTATCTGAGGTGTCCGCATCCTCTGCTCTGGTCAAGTGGACTGTTAGCAAAACAGCACCCAAGGTCAAGATGTACCAGCTCCAGTACAACTGCTCCGAAGATGAAGTCCTGATTTACAGGTAAATAACATTACGTGTGACTTTGTTTTTATAGACTTGATGGTTTGATCAGAGGTGGTTGCAAGATCACAATACAGCTTAACAAGTCTCTAGGGTCCCCATTTGTCTTTAGAACTTTAGAACACTTCAGTTGTTCGTAACCAGTCTGTCGCCAATGAATTGCTAAATACATCCGACATGTAGCCTACTGCTCTTAGGTGTTACCCAAACAGTATTGACAGCATGTCCTCTTGACACTTTCCTAAACGTTTGCTTTTGATAACCCAATGCAGACAAGAGATTCTTCAGAGAATAACAATACCTACGCCTGCAATTAACAAGCACTGAGCCAGGCACTTCACCTCACACTTGCAGTGCAAATGTTTCATCAAAGTGAAACCAACCACAACTATTATCCCAATCCCAATGCCCTAGACAATTAGGAATAAATATAATACTTTTTTAGAAATAAATCTGTAGGCTTTGTGACATTCACTCTGTAAAATATCCCTGCCATCCAAACATTTTCCAGCTTAAAAAAAATAAGCACTTGCTTTAGTGATGGAAGAGGTCCAAACAACCACAAATGTTCCCACTACAACAAATGAACAGAAAACACACATGAGTATAATGATAATTAGCCTGGCAGTACAACACTTTACATTTAGGTTGCCTGTGTAGTAACGTTGTAATTACACTAGTAACAGCATGTTCAAACCTAATAGCATTAGAATTGCACTAGGAACAGTTACCCGGCCCTGTATCTGACTCCATCGCTATAAGAAGTTAAGGGAAACACATTGGCAGATCTAGACTAGCAGGCCTGGGAATAAACCATATATCTCCCCTGCCTCCCTATAGCTTGATGTGGTTAAGTATGCTGAGGGACTGTCCCTGGATATTTACTACCGTTATATTAATAAAATAATTGTGCGGGAATTGGTAAAGCGGCCACTGGGCTGTTGCTGAATGCAGTTACAGTAAGTTATGTATAGATCGTAAAACCTTCGTAAACACTTGAAATTGAATACCAATGTACCCCCTTAGCAATACTTTACCTTTTAATGGCCGACGTGCCATAGCCCTGTGAGATTTACCTCTTATGCAAGTCCCGGATTCTGAATTGTTTAACAACGGAGAGTGGACACTATGGAGATCTGCTGTTGCTTATTGGTTTGCTTGGGGAATGCGATATTGAAATCATGCACAGATATTACTTTGCTCAAAAGACTGAATAGAACTCATCGTCTCTTAAGAATACAATAATATAATATAATATGTTTATCTGATTTGCTTACCAGGCACATTCAGTGCTCGTTTTTTCACAGTGCTCTCTTACAGACCAAGAAGTAATATAATTTCCTCAATATAGCTACATCTTTTCTCTGTCCAATGAATGTGGCGGGCGGGTGACTCAACTGTTTTTCCACCCACCCACAATTTATATGAATGCATTCTTATCCCAGCATTTCTGCAAACGTGTTTACATAGACTGGCGCTGAACATATTGCAGTTCCAAGTTATGAATACTGTATACAGTGCCTTCAGAAAGTATTCATACCCCTTGACTTATTCCACATTTTGTTGTGTTACAGCCTGAATTCAAAATTGATTACATTCAATACCCAATAATGACAAACTGAAAACATGTTTTTAGAAATATGTGCACATTGATTGAAAAATTAAATACATAAATGTCAAATTTACATACTGTAAGTATTCACACCCCTGAGTCAATACTTTATAGAAACACCTTTGACACCTTACAGCTGTGAATCTTTCTGGTTAAGTCTAAGAGCTTTGCACACCTGGATTGTAAAATATTTGCCCATTCAATTATTCAAGCTCTGTCAAGCTAGACAGCCATTTTCAAGTCTTGCCATAGATTCTTAAGCCGATTTTAAGTCAAAACTGTAACTAGGCCACTCAGGAACATTCTATGTCATCTTGGTAAGCAACTGCAGTGCAGATTTATCCTTGTGCTTTAGGGTATTGTCCTGCTGAAAGGTGAATTAGTCTCCCAGTGTCTGGTGGAAAGCAGACTGAACCAGGTTTTCCTGTAGGATTATGCCTGTGCTTATAGCTGTATTCTGACCCCTTGACTTTTTCCACATTTTGTTACTTTACAGCCTTATTCTAAAATGTATTCAATTGTTTTTTCCCCTGATCAATCTACACACAATACCACATAATGACAAAGCAAAAACATACATTTTTGCAAATGTATTATAAAATAAAAAATGGAAATATCACTCCCGAGGGCTCCTGAGTGGCGCAGCATCTCAGTGCTTGAGGCGTCACTACAGACCCCCGGTTCGATTCCAGGCTGTATCACAACCGGCCGTGATTGGGAGTCCCATAGGGCGGCGCACAATTGGCCCAGCGTCATCCAGGTTTGGCCGGTGTAGGCCGTCATTGTAAATAAGAATTTGTTCTTAACTGACTTGCCTAGTTAAATAAAGGTAAAATAAAATTAAAATAAAAACAATTACATAAGTATTCAGACCCTTTACTCAGTACTTTGTTGAAGCACCTTTGGCAGTGATTACAGCCTAGAGTCTTCTTGGGTATGACGTTACAAGCTTGGCACACCTGTATTTGGGGAGTTTCTCCCGTTCTTCTCTGCAGATCTTCTCAAGCTCTGTCAGGTTGGATGGGGAGCGTCACTGCACAGCTATTTTCAGGTCTCTCCAGAGATGTTCGATCGGGTTCAAGTCTGGGCTCTGGCTGGGCCACTCAAGGATATTCAGAGACTTGTCCCGAAGCCACTCCTGCCTTGTCTTGGCTGTGTGCAAACATTTCTAAAAACCTGTTTTCGCTTTGTCATTATGGGGTATTGTGTGTATTTCAATTTTATCCATTTTATAATAAGGCTGTAACGTACCAAAATGTGGAAAAGGTCAAGGGGTCTGAATACTTTCCGAATGCACTGTATATACAAGGGGTACCGGTTCTGAATCAATGTGCAGGGGTATGGGTTAGTCGAGGTAATGGAGGTAATATGTGCGTGTAGGTAGGGGTAAAGTGACTATGCATACATAATAAACAGAGAGGAGCAGCAGCCTGTGTGAAGGAATGTGAATGTATGTTTGTGAGTGTGTGTGTGTGTGTGTGTGCAAAATGTTTTAATATAATCATAATAAAATAAGGGGGTCAATGTAAATAGTCTGGGTAGCATTTTGATTATCTGTTCAGCAGTCTTATGGCTTGAGGGTATTAGTTGATAAGAGCCTTTTGGTCCCAGACTTGGTGCTCCGGTACCACTTGCCATGCAGTACCACAGAGAACAGCCTATGACTTGGGTGGCTGGAGTCTTTGAAAAGATGTTGGGCCTTCCTCTGACACTGCCTGGTATAGAGGTCCTGGATAGAGGTCCTGGTAGCGTGTTAGTATTTTTCGAGGATCTGAGTACCCATGCCATATCTTTTCAGCCTCCTGAGGGGAAATAGGCATTGACGTGTACTCTTCACGACTGTCTTGGTGTGTTTGGAACATGATGTGGACACCAAGGAACTTGAAGCTCTCGACCTGCTCCACGACAGCCCCGTCGATGTGAATGGGGGTGTGCTCAGTGCGGATGTTGCCTGTAATCCATGGCTTCTGGTTGGGATATGTACGTACGGTCACTGTGGGGACGACGTCGTCAATGCACTTATTAATGAAGCCGGTAACTGATGTGGTATACTCCTCAATGCCATCGGATGAATCTCTGGAACATATTCCAGTCTGTACTAGCAAAACAGTCCTGTAGCTTAGCATCCGCTTCATCGGACCACTTCCATATTGAGCACGTCACTGGTACTTCCTGTTTGAGTTTTTGCTTGTAAGCAGGACTCAGGAGGATAGAGTCATGGTCAGCTTTAGCAAATCTGTGTGTGGAGTAAAGATGATCTAGATTATTATTTTTTTCTAGTTGCTGGTAGAAATGAGGTCAAATGGATTTCAGTTTTCCTGCATTATAGTCCCTGGCCACTAGGAGAGCCGCTTCTGGATGAGCATTTTCTTGTTTGCTCATGGCCTCGTTGAGTGCGGTCTTAGTGCATGCATCGGTTTGTGGTGGTAAATAGACAGCTACGCAGAATATAGATGAAAACTCTCTTGGTAAATAGTGTGGTCTACAGCTTATCACGAGGTACTCTAACTCAGGCGAGCAAAACCTCAAGACTTCCTTAATATTAGAGATTGTGCACCAGCTGTTGTTGACAAAGGGACACACACCACCCCCCTGATCTTACCGGAGGATGCTGTTCTCTCTTGCCGAGGTACGGAAAACCCAGCTAACTGTATATTATCAATTTCCTTGTTCAGTCACGACTTGGTGAAACATATGATATTACAGTTTTTAATGTCCCATTGATAGGATAGTCTCGAACGGAGCTCATCCAGTTTATTCTCCAGTAGAACAGAGGGTAAAGGCGGATTATCCACTCGCCAACGCAGTCTCGACAGGCATCAGGCTCTACGACCTCTGTAACGGTGTCTCTTCTTCATGCGAATGACGGGGATTTGGGCCTGGTCTGGGAGGAGCAGTATATTCTTTGTGTCCGATTCATTAAAGAAAAAATCCTCATCCAGTTTGAGGTGAGTAATCGCTGTTCTGATGTCCAGAAGTCCTTTTCGGTCACAAGAAACGATGGCGGAAACATGATGTACAGAAAACGAAATATCTGCAAAAAAACACACAAAATAGCACAATTGGTCAGGAGCCCGTAAAACGGCGGCCATCCCCTACGGCACCATTATCTACTTGCCAATTAGAAGCATACCCATAACATGATGCAGCCACCACCATGCTTGAAAATATGAAGAGTGGTACTCAGTGATGTGTTGTGTTGTGTTGGATTTGCCCCAAACATGTAATGCTTTGTATTATTTGCCACATTATTTGCAGGATTACTTAAGTGCCTTGTTGCAAACAGGATGAATGTTTTGGAATATTTTTACTCTGTACAAGCTTCCTTCTTTTCAGTCTGTCATTTAGGTTAGTATTGTGCTGTAACTACAATATTGTTGATCCATCCTCAG